TTTTTGGCATAGGGTCTCACGTGTTGCCTAGGCTGGCCTTAAACTCATGATCCTCCTGGCATGCCTCCTGAGTAGCTGGTGTTACAGGCATGTGTGACCATGCCCAACTCCACCACTCTCATTATTTTTTACTATTCAAATGAAAATTCTAAAGACTTCTTTCAACCTTATCAAGGCTTTCTTGGACCAGCACTGTGTCCATAAGAGAAGGACCTATGTTTTCTCTAATACCTTTGTCATTTGCATGAAAAATTAGTAGGACTGAGAAGTATGAAAAAGAGAAACCCTCAGGCTCTCCAGGATGTCAAATTGTGGAACATTTAAGTGCAATTGTATTTTTCCATAGAAATTTAATATTAATTATATTAGAAAATACATATGATGAAATTGTTTTGCTAATTACACTTAATATGTGGTTTTCCCATTGTGCACTAAATAAAAATTAAATAAGTTGGTGTTTACATTTTATAGTAAATATTCATTAGAGACAGTAATTATTATTATTTTTAGAATTCTACTCATACCCAGAGCCTAGAACAGTGTTAGGGACAATGACAGACAACTTATAGACAATCATCAGATAAATGTTCCCAAGCTTATGAAGTGAGATGCTCAGATAAAACAATTATCATTTGTTTCTGAGCTACTATTTATTACAATTATTAATCATTAGTTTCATTTATGACACTAGTTTTCATTTATCCCACTTCCTGTATGCTATATAAAATTCAACTTGTATTTGAGTTGAATCATCTTTGTTATTTTTATTGTATTTCCTATCTTATGGAAGACATATCCTGCCTATAGTATCTCTGAAATTCTCACAATAGTTACTTATGAATGTCTGAGTTCTAGAAAGAAAGTAAAATTTAAAGAAAATAAGATTTCAGATGCCAATATGTCTAGTAGAAATGGCACATGTAAATAATTTAGGAAAGAGTTTCAATAAGTGACGTTTATAATTACTGTTTAATAGACAACATCCTATTGTCCCCCCAATGAGAAAGTTTAATATACGTCTGTTATAGACAAAATCTACTCATCTTAAGCTAAACATTTTATAATCATGTTTTGCATTTAATTTGCATTGTTCCAAATTCTAAGTGAATAAATACAATTTTAGTTAAAATCAGATGTACTTACATATTTTGAAAATTCTCCAACTTTGGAAATACAATATAAAACAGAATCCGTACCTATGAAGTCACTGCCTTCTTCCCAGGGGCTCTCTGCTTATCTCTGTACAGCAGCAACTCGGACAAATGCCTTTCAAGTAGCAGGCATCAACTCCTGTTCTTCACTTGAGTTTTGTTATACTTTTATTAAAACATTTTATTCCATTTAGCTCCCAAAACACTGTTTCAAAAGTGTCTTGAAACTATGTTAAATGTATTTGTAAGCTTAGTTTTGTACCACTAAACTTCTAGCATTCCCAACTACAGATGACTGAGGAGGAAGCAAGTAAAACATTGATGGGATCAGGCATGATTTTTCTTGTCTTTGGCTTGTGGGCCATTTGAAAGCCTTCTTAACAATATCCCTTTAAACTTGGTTTTATTATTTTAGTTCAACAATTCAAATCGCTCTAACTAAATAAAAACCTGTGAAATATATAGGCTTTCCAATTCATTACATTCATGATGGCAAATGCAATTTAATGTAATAAAAGTATTAGTAAAATATGATTTGTTGAGCACCTTTTCTATGAGAAGCATACAGCTAAGCACATTCCATTAATTTGCATCTTCATAATAACCCTGAAAAGTTATACTTTTTGCCTGCATTCCCCATATGGTACCACTATTTTACACATGAAGAAACTGATACCCAAGAAAATAAGTTGATTTGTGCAAAGTCATGGATCTCAACAGACCTGGATCCAAGGTTACAAATCAGGCTCAATCACCTAGAGTTATAGTGTGTAAAAATTCAGTTGGTTTGGTCCGATCCTTAATAACTGTACTTTCCACATCTCATTCCAATTTTAAATCTGTATATGTCCAGATCTTGTTAATTTTTCTTTCATAGTTTGGGTATAGTTTCGGGTACAGCCAACATTCCTTTGAGTAGAATTAAATGAACTAACAACCACTTTGGTGCTACTTTGGTAGTAACCATCCAGGTGACAGCCCTTGTACAGTGCATAGAAAAGTGATTTTCACTATTTTTGGCTAAAATAAAATTGGTACCTTTTACTTATGCATCTTTTCCCTGTTACATAAGGTAACAATTGTAATGCTGAAATTACAACCATGATCCTTATTTTATTTTGCACCTGAAATAATTTTGTTGGACTGAGACAGTTGATTTAAAATTTTATGATCAGAGAAACAAACAAACAAAAAGAGATAAAATCTTACTTTCCTCTAGTTGTTTCAAAGCTGGATTTTTGAGAGCCGGGTCTCTGGCCTCGAGTGCTGTTGCCTCTGCTGAGGTAGGTTTCCCGTGGGGATCGATTTCCCATGCGGCCCGCTGATTTTAAAGCGTTTGCTTGTTGATCTGACCTTCTGGCAAAGCTTTGAAGGAATTTCAGTGTAGAGTTGGAAAGTGTAGAGTTGGAAAGCACCGCTGCCTCTGCTCCAGGTTTGAAGCTGTTGCTAGCTTTGGTTGGAATGGCAAGCCTTGGTAACTTCACCTCTCCTTCTTCAGTCTTCCCTGTGGCTGGGGCCATTTGGCTTCTCACACCCTCGGGAGCCAAGCTTGACTCTGAGGGAGGCAAAGTTGATTCCAGAGGATGCGCTTCAGATGCTTTCAGCACAGGAGCTGGAGCTATCTTAGTTGATGGGTTCTGAGTGGTCTTCAAAGTTTGAAGACTTTGTGTTTCATTTACAGGAGCTGAAAGAGAAGTCACGTTCTTGTTGGAGTTTTCATCCTCAGGGGTACTCAGAGGGTGCTTAATGTGGTCAAGTCCGATGCCCCCACTCCATAAGCTGGAAAGGAGGACAAATAACTTTGCTCCTTTCATCTCAGTAGTTTGAAACAAAAAATTTCATGTGAAATTGGGAGACAAAGTCCTTCCAGACTACTTGATAGCTGTTTCCACAATGAATGTGCGAGGACAGAGCTTCTCCAGCTTGGGGTGTGTAGAGGAAACAGGTTTCTGTGCTCTGTAGTGGACTCAGGAAATTTGATTTCCTGTTTCTTTCGGGTGTTTTTTGTGATCTGTGACTTCTGCTAGGATGGGTCTTTGGCTGTGGTGAAGGTCCTCTGACGAAGCTAAAGGTAAATGATAAAACACAGACAATGGCTATTAGGAAAACCCGAGGGGAAAGCACAAAGTGATTCTCCTTTCTCATGTGACCTCATGTTTCATTGGGAAAAAAAGTTCACACTGACAATGGGGAGTATGGAATTTTGTTAGTAAAGTTAACAATTTGTTCTACTATACAAGAAAACTGAGAATAAAATTTAATTCTTCTGTCAACTGTTCCATACCCCTAAGCCGCATTTTGTTTCAATGCATATCTGTATGTACACACATAAACAAAATTTGTTTGCAATGTCTGTCTTTTTCTTAATATGGGGATGAATTTAATATACGTACAACACTTGTCTTAGCTACTTTTACTCATTTCTCTCCCAAAGTTAAAGGGAAAAAGGGTTATTTGGCTTACAATTTGTAGAAATTTCAGTCCATAATCAGCTGGCTCCAAGGTAGGGTGCATGGCAGACAGGCATTGCAGAGGAGAGAGAGTTTATAGTAGGAAGGAGGTAGCAAAGCAAGCAAAAAGGAGCAAGACAAGTCCCTTTCTGTCCCTTATATTGTACCCAAGATACAAGATTAGAGCTGTGCCAAACCTATCAGTGGACTGATTTAGTAGTCACCCACCCTTAATCCCAGCACCCCCAATCCTACCATTGCACCATGAATCAGTCACATACTTTAGATTCAGCCACCCTGAAAAAGCCCCACCTATGACTGCATGAGGCACTGGGGGAGCATCTAGACACAAGGTATAACAACACTATATTTTAAAAGTACTTTAGCTATACCATCACTTAAAGCTAATCTTAGTGATTGTAAGAAATTTCAAGGAAATAATAAATTACTGAATTATAAAAGTGTACAAGAAACATTTTAAATTTTACTCTTCAAATTTTTACCAGTGATAGCAACTAATGCAATAAATAATCAGAATTCTACTTTCTCTATTTTTCAAACTGGCTTGATGTCATTAATATTTTTTTACTACTCAAAACAGATGAAGAAAAAATGAGTCACATGAAAAATTAAAATAAGATCATATCCAATGTTTTTATACATCTACTCTAGTCCTAAAAGTATTTTAGTTGTACATGAGAGAGAACTAAAATGATCAAGGAGTCTTCTTGGGTTATTTTTCTAGCAGACATACTTCATGGGATTTGTGATTTTATTCCTTCAGCAAATCTTGATTCTTTGGCTTCAGTTAAACTTATCTGCAAGAATTTGGACAGATATGTAGTCATTCATTCATTCATTCATTCATGCATGCTTGCATTCTCTAAATCCAATCTGTGCAAGACATTCTTTTTTAAGTACTGAGATTGTGAAAGAAATAAAGAATATTCTTGGCTATCAATTTGCTTAAGGTCTATAACATGATATTTCAAGGCACAATCTATGTGTAATTGATCTTTCTGTCATCTTCTTTGTCAGGCCTTAGGCTCTTGCTAAATATTCGCCATAGAAAGTTTTCTCTCACAATTGGAAAATTGAAAACTAATCCCTATTTTGCTGTAGATTATTGTAGAAATGTGCTCTTGTTCTTAATTCTGGACACTTGATACAAGACTTCATTTTCCATGACTCATTATTTGGCCTTAACACCCTTTTCCTCTCTGATCTTTGCCACTGATCACTGTGAGTATCTTGTTGACTTTACTAAGGTGTATGTAATGTGACATTATTTAAGCTCAGCAGCCCCTACTGACTATGCTGTAGAGTACAAGGAGAACAATCCACAAACTGCATTAGTAAAAGAGCAAAAAGTTCCAGTACAGACCACCCAGGCAGCAAATAGTTACTAAGAAGAGCAATGAGACAGCATAATTTTCACAATAAAATTAGTATAAAGAACAAGGCATTGGGGGCCAGGGATATAACTCACTGGGGTGATGCCTGCCTGGCAAGTGTGAAGTCCTAAGTTCAATTCCCAGTTCTTAAAAAAAATAAAAAATAAAAAAATAAAAAACCAAGGCATTTTGTCTTCTTAGCCTGAGAAAAACAGAACAACTACCTTTAGCTTGCAGTGGAAGAAGAATTCCAAAAAAAATTTCAAGTAAGCTGTTTCTATTTGATGTACAATGTTGAATCCATTTCCTTAGAGTTAGTAGAAGTAAATATGTAGATTGCCCAGAACATTTATCAACAAACTGATGGTGCTCACTGTTTTTTGTTTGTTTGCTTTGCTTCTATGGTTGAAAAGACCACCTTAATCCTAGTTAAAATAAGTGCATGTTAGTGATAATGGAGAACCCAATGGATCTATAACTGATATTAAATAGCTATCAAATGGTAATAAAATTCAATGGAATTAAGCAATTCATATCACCTCTTGTAGGGTATTGACCATTAATGCCTTTTATTCACCCCTGTGCTAGTGTACCATTGACCCTGTAATCCAAAGGCTAAAGGTTCTGTATCTCATTATTGATCCACTAAGCAGTCCTGTGCTCTGGCTCCCTAGAGAATCCCCAGCTCATTTGATGGGTTTAGGCACACGGATCAGCCCTTAATTGGACACATAAAACATTTGTAGGGCAGAAACTATCAGAGGCCTTGCTTCAAATTCTGCTTACTGAGACACATCAATAGTCACCAAACAGCAATTAAAAAGACTAGTCTTTCTAGGATGTCTGTCTAAAGAGAAATCAGTTCACTCCTTCTACTAGATACTGTAAATACTGTTGTTAAACTTACCATTGATGTTTGCATAGCCCTCATCCTTCTGTTATACCCTCATTTCCCACTAGATCTTTTATATTAAATTGTGTCTTACCATTTTGGCAACATACCTTGAAAATTTTATAAGTAATAAATCGTGTTACTCATTATGTGATATGCTATCAGTAGACTTTTATGTCACTTTTCATTATACCATCAACATAGCATTGAATCTATACTACAAAATGGTTTATCTCTAGGTGACATGATAATCAGTTCATATTTCTTTCACCCCTTATAATCCATTTGAATTAATTTTGTAAGCACAAGAGAAAATATTGAATCACGTTTATTAAGTTGAAATGAAATACAACTGTGAGTTGAGATCAAATTCCAGATACAGGATCTCACTAGCTCTTGCTATGGATTATTCAAAGCCACTGTTATGACTGCTAAAATTATTTTTATATAATTCTATGGATATGAAATTGTTTCCACCAGATTAATGAAATTCTCTGTAACTTCATTTTTCACATGAGAAATTCATATTTTCAAAAGTAGTTTAAAACAATTAAAATACTATAAAACCTTCCTCTGGAACTGTTGAAATAATTTTACAAACCAGAATTCTAAGATTTCTGCAGTTTTATGATGTATTAAAAAAGCTAAAAATCTGTAAAATTTACATGTGGAAAAAGGACTTATAACTGTTCAGCAAAAAGACTGGGAAAGGAGAGACATAAATTTCCCCGTGATTTTGACAATACAGTATGCCAGATAAGTTAAATGCTGGGAGAGAGCCGGGGAACTGAAATAATGGCATTGAAGCATGGCAAGTCCTCAGTGAGCACACGTTGGCGGGATGGCCCTCTATGGGCTGAAGCAAAAGGGATAGAGACAGATGGAGAGAGATCATAGAGGGTGCAGAAATCCAAATGGGAATCTGGAAAGAACAGAGAGCTTAGCAGATATTGGCTTCTTGCTGAGAAGTAGAAGGGCTCCCCTCACAGTGGTTTACTTACCCCTCTTCACCCTATTAGTGAAAATGACAGGTTAACTTGAAATTATACAAACCAAAGCACAAAAATATATATAGAAAAAGTAAATAGTATCTGAAATCTGTGGAAAAATATATGCTTAAATATATAGAGATGAATAAATAGATAAATATGTATAATAAAAGAGAAAAGAGAATAAGGCAAATGATAATTTAAATAAGATAATGGGTAGGAGTTTCCCAAAATTGAAGACACAGCAACCTAAAATACCCAGGAAGTTCAACAAATGCCAAGTAAAAATGTAGCTTAGGCATATTGTAGGTAAAATTCACAAAAACCAAGATTATAAGAAAATATTGAAAATAGTAGGAAAAAATCATAAAATAATAAAAGGTGAACAGTTATAGCTGAATGTTCATTAAATCAAATAGACTAAAGAAGACCATAAAATAACATATTTCAAAGGCTCAAAGAGAAAAAACCAGGAGTTAAAAATTCTACATATGTACAGCAAATCTTTCAAAAATAAAGAGGAAAAAAGACATATTCAGTAGGCAAAACCTGAAAAAATTTGTTAAGAATTTGTAAAGGCACTAGAGCACTTCCACAAGCTAAAGAGCGATCACAGCAGAAAGTTAAGGGCAGGAAGGAGAAGAATAAATTTGAGTAATTTGTAGGAAAATTGGTGGGCCTGATGCCCATAATGCTAAGAGGAATATGTAAGACACACAGTGTTAAATATCAAAGGGTTTTCTCAACCAAAAATAAAAATCCAGTGGTACCTTCGTACTTGTTAATTAAATCTATGAGGTGAGACGAGCCCTGAAAACGCTTAGCAGCAAACAAACTGTTTTTGCTGGAAAGAATAACAAGCTATAAGGCAATAACCCCCAGTAAGTTCTGGCATCACATCAAGTATGAGCAAATGACAAGTAGTGGGACAAAATTTTTGTATCAAAAAGCTGCAAGTACCAAATTTGATGAGTTTCCAACTCATCAAATACCAAGGTTTGACGGCAATTTAAAGACCAAAGTAAAGGAGGGTGGTGGGAAACAGAGAGGTAGACTTTGGGTGAAGGGAAGAGGTTTTGGGGACCGTATGAGAGGGTGTGTAGGGGTGGGAAGGGCAGTAAAATCATGAAGACGTGATCTATATATGTCATTATTATGAGTCACAAACGTCCACGAATAAAAAAGATGGATATAATAATAATGGTAAAGGTGAAAAACATTTCTGTACTCCCCACCACCCAAAGTAATGAGGCCAAGAGTCACACAGCCGGCCTCCACAGCCCTGAACCCCAGGGGGTTTTCAGGTCAATGAAACTATCCTGCATGACACTATAA